CTGTATGCCCAAAATCGCTCAGCTGACGGGTCAGGGCTCGGGCCAGACCTCCAAACACCTCATTCCGGGCCACGAAATCGGTCTCACAATTCAACTCAAGCATAGCGGCCAGCCCTCCGGCACCGGTATGCGAGGGGCCCCGGTATACGGCTACCAGTCCCTCGGCTACGGGCCGTTGGGCGACCCTCTGGGCCCTCTCCCAGCCCTGTTTGGCCGCCTCGGCCCTCAGCCACCGTTCCGCTTGCGTCAGGTCCTGGCCGTGGAGTTCGAGGGCTTTCCGGCACAGGGAGTAGGCGTAGCCCGTACGGCGCCGTAGCGTAGCCATGGGCGAGTCGGAAGCACTGGTAGGTTTGGCTGACAGGGCACGGGTAGCACAGGTGGGCCCCAACGCGCGGGTCATAGCCGTGACCGCAGTGCCCGGGAGTAGGCCTTTGAACATCACTAACGAGTTGTTTATGTGTTTGAAACACATGTTATTGAATGGTGTGTATGAGAGTGGCGTACGACTGTGTGCGGAGTGTTGTAGATGTTCGCAGTGCTATTAGTGCGTGTTTTGTCTACAGGAGTGTCTGACGCAATGTTTGTGTGTTGTGTCAAATGGTGTTCATAAATAATGTGTGTTTTTTGTGGGTGCTTTTGTGTGACCCCCTTATTGGGTATGTTTTTGGGAGTACTGTATGATCTAGGTATTTTTATTTATTTTTGAATAGTGCGTAACATTTTTGAGTATATTATTTTGTATTTTAACTATATGCTTTTTAAAAAATAAATTTTAATTCATAATAAGGTACAAAATTAAGTTTTTTAAGTACCTTGTATGTATATTCAAATATACAGTGTGTTTATGTTATCAAGTATTATACAATGCCATTGTTATTATAGTAAAAGTAATTAGTATACAGTAAATTAATTAATTTTAATGTATAAAGGCTTAATTGTGTATTAAAGCAAGTGTGCCAGGTGGGTTAATATTTTTACTATTATTAGCGAGTTTGTATGCATAACACAGCCTCCGTGGCGCAATCGGATAGCGCGTTCGGCTGTTAACCGAAAGGTTGGTGGTTCGAGCCCACCCGGGGGCGTGACTTTTTTATTTTACTTTTTTACTTTTTGTTTATTTTATTTGTGACAGGTTATATTATGAAAGTCTGTGCGCTATAATTTCTACTAAAATAATTATTATTTTTAAAATATTGTATGTTTTGTTTGTGTGTTTTTGGTATTGTATGAAATGTTTAGTTTATGATTCAATAATTTTTAGCTTTAAATAATAACTAAATTCAACACATTATCACCAAGTCCCTTATTAAATAATTAGTACGTCTACCTAGTGAAATGATTTATCAGATAATTACTTTTATCTAAAATATGTTTTAGATTGTATAAAAGTTAATTTTTCTGTATTGTGGGAACAAACCAAATATACTTACTTTTTAATATTTTCAATAATTTTAATATTAAACTAAATTTATTTTACAGTTTTCATGATCATTGAAATCATAGTTAATTAATAAAATAATTCTAAACAACCTGTACCATAAATATAATATTTTGAAACATTTTATTGATAATACTAGTTAAGTTATTCGTGGCAAGTATAGTTAAGCAATTTATTTTGTATACCTTACGTTTATTTTAAACTTAAAAACATAACATAATACATTTTAAAATTATGTGTAATTTTCAAATTATAATTTTTATACTGGATAACAATAGGCTTTGCTCCAAAATTATATTTTATTGAAAAACATTTTTTTAAAGACTATTTAAAAAATATTGTCCTTATCTTATTTATAGTAATTAGACTGAATTAATAATAGTAAAATATTTAACAATTATCTAATAATTTTTACTTTTTGTTTACATTTGTCACAATAGATGTCCAAGGTAATGAACTCAGTAATTAATTTCGACCGTAAATCTTGATAAATCTAATAAACCTTTTATAATATAATATGATATATTATATAAACTTTAAGGTTAAAACATTTATGTTTGCATACATTTATTGGCTATATGTTTAATCATTAAGCTTCAATGAATGTGCTGGATAATATCAAGGCTATTAAGGCGTTGCACGAAAATTATATTTAATCAGAAAACTTTTTACACGCTATTTAAAAATATTTCCCCTGATCTTGATCATGTTATTAATTTCGACCGTAAACAATGCTAAACCCAATGCACTAGTACATTTAGTCATTATTTGTATAAGTATGTGATTTTATCCAAATGTATCCGTATATAAATACTGATGGGAGCTATGTAAATTTATTATTAGTGTCCAGTTGCTTGTTTATTAAAATTATTATTTTATTGTACAGTAAAGTAATTTATTTACTAAACCCATAATAATGGCTAAACTGTTGATTACTTTGACGGCACTGTTAGCTCTGGTAGTGATCTATATATCGGCTGAAGACTATAACAAAAAATTCGCTGAAGAGGCGCAAAAAACTGCCAAGATGATTTGGTGCGGTATGTACCAGGGATAGTGTCATTACTCATTATTATTATCACCATTTTAATCGCTTAAAAACTTTTTGAACAATTTAATTTTATATAATACTATAGTTAACTACAGTAGTTAATTTTTTATTTGTACCGGATCAATTTTAAATAATACCACAAATGTTAAAGTTAGTTATTTATTACAGTTTACAGATTAATATAGTTATTAATAGCTAATGTAATAATAAATATCAAAAATATATTAGTTACTGAATTTAATGATAAAATATTACATAATGATAATATATTACTGTATTATCAAACGACCAGGGACCTGTAAGGACAAGGCTGTGAGTGGTGAGATCATGAGGTTTGGTCAGTGCGTTCAGGCCCTGTATCCCAAACAGTTCGCCAAAATCATGGCCATACGAGCGGTACAGGTGTCTAATCCGGACGAGTGTTTCAAACAAGTGATAACCGAAACGGAAGGCTATACCCGGGCTGACCCGTCCCATGCCGTCAATGTATTGAACTGCTACCGGGTTAATGTGGTCCCCGATCACCTTGCTAAATGCTATTAATAACCTACATGTAATACCACGAGTATTATATTTATATTATTTTGAATTCCCTGTTATTAGTTTTTAGTATGTTTTTAACATTAGGTGTCTAATATTATTTTATAAAGATTAGCCAATATTTTAATTAAATTTTTTTTATAAATATTATTTATTTTGCATAATATATAACTTTTTAATTTTTTAATAACAGAATTAAAATAGAAAAATTTTCGTTACAGGTATAAAATATTAATATTATTATTTTTAAATTTTATTAAACAATTATATGATTTTAATGTTGTCAAAACTATTTATCTATACTGTACTTTTACTTATAACTTAAATTTTAAAAATTAAATACAAAATTATTTAATTAGAATGTTTATTATTATAATTTAAAAATTACAATAAAAACTATCTTATATTAAAGTAAAAACAATACTATATTATACAATGGCTATGATTGGTTACATTATAGTTTTATTATATGTTTTTATTAATGTATACTATACATTGTACAGGTTACATTAATTTTTAAAATATAATCATAATTCTTATGTGATTATTGTATGATATTTATTAATTAAATATTTTTAAAACTTTATCTAGATACATCGATGATTTTCAAGTACGTAATAGCAATGAAGCTTAAAATCTGTAATGAAATGATTTCATTGAGAAATATACTTATAATTTTATAAATCTCTGTGATTGATATGAAAGGGACCTGTCTATTATGATTTAATATGATCGTAAAATTAAGTTTCAAAATATTCACGATCATATTAAAGCAAAATAAGTTGAAAGGTATTTTTCGTAGGCCTCCCCCACAGATATAGTACTCAATTGAATGCATACTTCGTAACCACGGGATCGATTGATGAGAAACAGTCGCCAACAGTAAAAGCCAACCCTTTTCTCACCCAACCTTTCAATCAATGATTGTAACTATATTTGGCATAAAATAAAAATTAAACACCTAGTTTAATTGGTGGCTATCATGCAAAAGAAGGACATTTATTTTGCACTGCAAACTGTATACATAACCTAATCAATGCTTTTCATAATACCACATAATTTTTCTTAATTATGAAAAGCATTGATTAGGTTATGTATACAGTTTGCGGTGCAAAATAAATGTCCTTCTTTTGCATGATAGCCACCAAATAGTGTATTTAAAAATACTTTAAATTTGAAAATAATATTGCCCTTGGTAGGTTTACGGCGAAAGTTGGCGAAATATGAATTAAATATTTTATACGTAATGTCAGACTGTTTGCAGAGTTGCGATGAATAATGTGTTATAATTAGCAAGGTTAATATATACCCTACAAAAGTGGCAAACACTATGAACTGTATAATAAACCATATTTGCGAGTAAAATGATAAATAAAGTATCGCGGTTATGACAAATGTTATTATTATCCAATAAATGCCCAAAAATATTGACCAATAATTGTCGTTATATTCATTGATTTCCAGATAAATATCATTGAGTTTACGCATAATTTTCATTAAATACACGATTCGTTTGTTATAAACATCCTGGACAAATAGTTGATTAATTGATTGTAATTTTAATATTAAATAATAGACAATAATAGTGCAATATATTAATTGCCACATAATTATGTTGTAAAAATAATAACATGACAAGCTATATATCATGCTATATGGCATGGCGTATATTATAATTTTATTTAATGGTAAATGGATTGAGAATATGACCAAGGCCGCCAAAAAGACTGAGAAAAATACAGACTTTGTTATAATTTCTGTGATTGTAAAAAATTTTATAATTTTTATAAATTGTTATAATTTTTGTGAAAAAGTGATAATTTTCTGTAGGATGTGTTTGTCATGAATGCCAATACTATTGGGTGTTA